ATATATACATATATATTATTTATTTTTAATATTTTTAATTTAATTAAATAATAAAAATGAATTAACCTTTAGCTATTATTGAAATTAAAATAAAAGAAAATAAATCTGGATATATTTAAATTTATTAAAATGATAATATAGATTTTTTAATAGATTAATTTATACAAGAAAATAATTTAAATTAAAAGTTTAAATATTCATTAAATAAATTATTACTTTAGCAAATTTAGATTGCATAATAATATTATTGTTAAAAAACTTAAATATAAAATACAATACATGAATATGATAATGAATAAAAATATATACAAAATAATAAAATTAAACAAAAAATTTATGATATGTAAAATACTGAAATTAATAATTATAGTAATAATTAATTATCAATATAAATTGTGAAAAAAACGCCATAATTTATAAATAAAAATTTTAATTAAAATATTTTATTAAATTAATATAAAAATTATTATAATTCTTAGGAAAAATTTTAATATACTCCAAAAAAAAAAAATAATTTGATTAAAATTTTAAAAGCTCATCTATGTAATCTAGAACTATTTCACCAATTAATAGATAAATAAATTTAGATAGTTTTAATTTATAAAGAAATGAAAAAAAAATAATATATATTTAGTTTAGATATTGAATAAAAAATAATATAATAGAATTATAATTTAATACAATTAATTAAATTATATATGAATATAAATAAATATATATAAACATAAATAAATATATTTATATATTTATATATATATATATATTCTTTATAAATATGTATTATTTTTTTATATTATTTATATTTTTTATTTTTTTTGTATTTAATAAATAGTAATATATCTTAATTTTAAGATTTTTACAAATAATTTTTCTTAGCCATATTTTTTTTTATTATAATCAATTAAATATTTAAAACATATTTTTTTTAACACTAATTCACTTTTTAATCTAATTAATTATAATTTATTTATCTCTTTTTTTATTTTTTTTTACTAAAATTTAGTAAACAATATTTTTATAATAATTTAAAATAATTATTATTTATAATTTTTGCGAAATATTTAAGAAAGTTTGATAATTTAAATACATTATTTATATAATAAATATATATAATATTATAACAATAATATATATTTTTTTAACAAAATAAACATTTTCTAAAAAACAAAATGCAGATAAATACCTAACTTTAATAAAAATACTTAAATATTATGTAAAAAACCATAAATAATATTGATTTAAACTTAAATGAAAAATAATAAAAATAAATTCTTAAACATTTAAATTTAAAGAAATCGAATAAAATAAATATAAAAGAACTTATAGCCTAAAAACTTATAAATATAATTTATAATAACGGAATAAATGATTTAGAATAAACTTAATTTATATAATAATACCCTATTTTATAAGAAATATTAAACTAATTTACATTTTATATTCTTTTAGAAAATTCTAATAAAAATAATAAGTCTTAAATAAATATTAATATATAGGAAAATTAATAGAAAAACTAAATTATTGAAAATATTACTAACAATAGTTTAAGTAAAAAAAAAAATTAATAAAAAATTATATATATAAATATATATATATATTAATAAAATTAGAAAATTAAAGAGGAGATAATATTTTAGAAAAAAAGTAAAAAATAATTTTAATAATTTATATATAAAATATTTATTAAGTTTATGTGAAAATATAAAGTGTATATGTATAAGCTTTAATCTACATTAATAAATACAAAGTTAATTGATTAAATGTATTATTTGTTAAAATTTATATCATTTGGAATGTTTAAATGTTAATATTTCTTAAATAAATGCTTTCGAGTGTCCTAATTGTACTTTATGCTGGATGGATCCCTTAAACGAAATAAAATAAACTCTCTTATATCCTTCTTTAGTTTTTGGTGAATAAACAAATATTTTGTTTGAAATAGATAATGAAAAATATACTTAATTGTCCAAAAAAAACACTACAGTGGAAATAAGATCTATTAGATTGGACGGAAGTAGGAATATGTATGAATATACAATGCCAGATCTGTGTGAAATAACCTTAAATGGGAAAAAAATAGCCGAATTTCAGCCTTTATAGGTAAACTCGTCTTTAAAAAGTCGTCAAGATGACAAATTAATAATAAAGGACGTCTAAATTTTACATAGAGGTCAAAACGAGATCGAAATAAAGGAGAAAATAGAGAATAAAATTCAAAATTCACGGAAAATAGTGAATTCAATACATAAAATAGGTATATTTTTGTGTGAAAAAATAGAGGTTTAAATTTTAATTGAAAAGACGACTTTATTACCCATTGAAAATTCGAAAAAATTCATAAAAAAAAGCCTTGAAAAAAATAAAGACCCGGATCTGATTTTTATATAAGAAAATCTAAAATTAAGTCTAATTTGTCCTTTTGATTTAAAATTATTAAAAAATCCTTCCAGAGGAGTTTTTTGTTAACATATATAATGTTTTTCATTAGAAAATCTACTAGTATTTGCAGAAAATACATTTCCAAGAAGATATAGGTGTCCTATTTGTAAAGAAAGAGCTTATAGAGTTATTAAAGATGGACTTGTGGAGGAAATATTACTAAAAAAGGGAGGAGGAGGGTTAAAAGAAGTTTATATAGAGGAAAATGGGAAGGTTTTAGAAGAATTTAAAGGTTGTTGTGGAGATTTTGTAGAGAAATTTTTAAAGGATAATAATAATGATGATAATTGTGATTTAGATTAAAAAAGTATAAATAATTAAGATTTATATGATAATAATAATTTTGATAATTTTTTATTAAATTAATACAATATTAATAATATTAGTAAAGAACAAAATGTTTAAGAAATAAAATTTTTAAAAGATGTTTTTTTAAAAGAAATAAATAAAAATATTATTTAATAATATCCTTTTTTGAAAAAAAAAATGTTAGAAAATAAGTATAATGATGAATTAGATTAATAATTAAAAAAAAAATAAAGAAAATAGAAAAATAAAATTATAAAAATAAGAAAAGAAATAGAATAATAAATAAATGATTCTATGTAATTGTTACAAAATAAAAATAAAATAATAATAATAATAATAATAATAATAATAATAATAATAATAATAATAATTTTTAATAAAATTAATAATAATAATAATTAAAATAATAATAGTAATAATTTTTATAAAATTTTTATTTAATAATTTGGTGTATATACAGGATTTCTTGATAATACTTTTAATTATTAATTTCTGAATGTATAGAAAAAAAATAAAACGATAAATATAGTTTATAAAATAATCCAATATGTATTTAAATTGATTGATTTTTTTTTTTATATATTTAAATATATATTTTTATTTTATTTCTTAATTAAAATTTTTATAGTATATGATATAAATATAAAATATAATAATATATAAAATTTTATAACTTAATATAATTTGTTTTATTAAATAATTAATGAAATATATATTTAAGTTATCTCATAAAATTTATAGAAAACTTTATTAATAAATATAATAATTAATATCTAAATAAAGATAATAATTAAAATTGATAAATTTAAACTAATTTTAGTATTAAAAATTTTATATACATGTTCAAAATTATTATAAATTATATCCTTTAAGCAAAAAATAGAAAAATAATTTTATTTATTATTTAAAATTGAAAATTTTAATAAATTAAGAATATATATATAATAAAAAAATTTAAAAACTTAATAAATATTAATGTAATATACATAAGTATATTATTCAGTTTTAAATTAAAGATAAATAAAAAAAAATTATAAAAAAAAAATAATATAATAAAAAATTATTTTATATTATATTTATTACAAAATTGAAATATATATAATATTTTTTAAAATATATAGGAAATAATAATTAAAAGAAAAAAAAAATATATATTTTATTTATTAAAAAATATTTATAATACAAATTTAATATAATATTAAAAAAATAAAATATATGTTTGATATAAAAAATAAATAGAAAAATGTTTTAAATACACTTTAGTATTAGATAATTAAATAAATAAAAATTTAATAATAAAAAATATTAAAAATATATATATATTAATAGTGAATAAATTAAAAAAAAATATAATTATTATAAAATATAAAAAAAATTGATTTAAATAAATATATAAAATATATATAAATATATATAAAATATATTTATATATTTATATATTTATATATTTATATAATTATATTTTTTTTATTTTAAAATATAAAATATGTCAAGTTTTTATTTTATTACAATAAATATGATTAATATATATATTAATTAATTTTTAAAAATAAAATAAACTTGGATTAAAATAAAACATTTATTTAATCCAATAATTTTCTTCTTTTTAATTTTTCTCTTTTATAGATATCTAAATAAGTTTTTTTATAGCTTTTTTTTTCATTTTTTAATCTTTAAATTTGAGTATTTCTTATAAGCATTTTTTTCCGTTTTAAATATCTCCTTTTTCTATCAAATACTTTCCTTTTAAAAAAACTATTTCTAAATAATATAAACTTCTATTTTTATCTTAAATAAATTCTATTAATTTCTCCATTTCTTCAAATTTACCTATTCTATATAAAATTTTACTTGCTAAAATTATATTTTTATCTTCCATATTCTATTATTTTATTGTTTACTTTATTAAAAATTCTGCTTTTTCCCATTCTTTCATTTTCTTATAAAAAAACTCTAATAAAAATACCCAGAATCTTCAAAAAGTTCCCCTCTATATTCTTTAAAGTTTTTCAAAATATTCCAAAATTTTCCTTGTTTTTTCAATTTCTCCCTTCTAAAAGTAAAATTCGACAATTTTTTTATAGTAAGTAATATTATAAGGTTCTAAAAGTATAGCTTTATGCAAAAAACGTTCAGCTTTGTTTCCTAAACCTTATTTCTAATAAATAAGGGACATTTGAAAAAACACATCACCATCAAATACATTCTAATCTAGAATTTTTTGAAAATTCAATAGCGCATCTTCATATTTTTATTCAAAAATTTAAACTATACCCAAATTTTGTAAAATTTTTGGACTTTTTTTCTAAATTTAGTCTAATATTTCCCTTGCTTTAACATATTTTTCCTCTTTTATATAGATTTAAGCTAATAAATATACATAATCTTCATTTTAAGGGTTTTTTGTGTACGCTTTTAGAAGATATTCTTAATATTTTTCCATATTTTCCTATTTATAATATATAGAACTTAACAAATAATAAGCTTGTGAATTATTTTCATCGATTTATATTATTTTTTATAAAATATAGAGAGCTTATTTATAATTTTCTTATTTTATATATATTAAAGCTTCATAGATATATAAAATTGTATCATATTAGGAATTTTTAAGAATTTTTTTTATGTAATTTTATGCTTTTTTTAAATCATTTTTTTACATAAATTCAGATATTAATTAATATTACAACTTTTTATTTTATTTATTTTTTAAAGCTTATTCTTCTAAATCTAAAAGTTCTTAATCTGATTATGTATATAATTTAACAGTTAAATTAAATTTTAAAGGAATAATTATAAATTAAAATTTTTTTAAAAAAAACTTAAACATTATTTTGTTTATAAAATAAAAAGATTATTTAAACAAAATATAAAAAATAAATTAATAATTAATAATTAAATAAATAATAAAAAAAATAATATATATAAATACATTAAATATATATATATATATATATATATATATATATATATATATATATTTATTTTTATAAAACAAAAAAAAACGCTCGATGAAGGGATCGAACCTTCGACCTTGCGGTTAACAGCCGCATGCTCTAACCAACTGAGCTAACTGAGCTTATTAAGATATTATTTTAAATATTTAGTATTAATTATTACTAAATGCATCAATATTATTTTATATTTCATCTACTTATTATGTTTTATCTTATTTATTTATTTATTTTAACATTTCTATTTTAATTAAATAAAATTTATAATAATTATATTTTTTATATTAAATATTATAATATTTTGATTTCTAATTATATATAAAAGTTCTTAATGCATTTAACATATACTTATTAATAATCTCTTATTTATATTTATATTAAGAATAAACATTTTTAATTTATATTTAATAAAGAAAATTAATTAATAAATATATAATAATTAAGATAAGCAGAAGCATAAAATCTTAAAGAAATATATTAATTATTTAAACAACGAAATAAATTAATATATATAAATAGATTTAAATATTTATTTTTAAACTAGAATTTTTTATTTTTATATAATCCATTAACATTTTTATATAATATAAATTATAAATATTTTTATAAAGTTCTATTTAAAATAATTATAATATATTTTTTTAAGTCTATGCAGAAATTTTATAAAGCATGGAATAGGGAATTCATATGATCTGATTGTTTTTCTTTTATGAATTATTTTGTGTAAATGAAAACTAATTCATAAAAATGTATATAAAGGATATTGGAAAATAAAAAACATTAAGATTTAGTATTCATTTAATATTTATTTTTAAAGATTAGAGGATATAAAAAAAGAAATGAGAAGGATTTTATGGATTAATATAGCTAATTACTTAAAAATATAAAAAATTGGTAAAAATGAGGAGAAGTTTGAATGGCATAATGAATTATTCTATATATAAATTTTAAAATAATAAAGAATTAATTTATATTAAAGGTTTAGAAAAACTTAACTTTAAGGCAAAAAAAAAAGCTTAAAAGACAAAAAATTTTATTTTAGGCAGATAGATTTATTTTAGAAAGCAATTTTTTAAATTAGCTATAATATAAAACAAGTAAAAAAATATATAAAAAACTATAATGATAAAAAAGAAAAAAATAATATACATAATGTTTAAAAATAAAAATATATGAAAAATATGAATATTTTAGTATTAATAAAAATAAAAATGATTATATTAATAAAAAAATAATAATTAAAAAATTAAGCAAATACTAAAAAGCATAAAAGTAATATTAGCATGTATATATAAAAAGATAAATTAAAGTATAATATTAAAAAAAATTAATAAATATATATAAATATATAAATATATATATATGTCCATATGTTTTTATATAATATTTTTATTTTTATAAAAATTTAATATTTTATTTTTGTTTTTTATTTTCTATATTAAAATAATAAAAATAACAATAACAATAATAATAATAATAATTATAATATTAATAATAATAATAATAATAATAATAATAATAATAATAAGAATAAATTTTTTCTTTAATTTTATAATTATATACTAATTTTTAATAATTAAATATATTTTATATATTTTTTTATAATATTGAATAAAATTTTTAATATGATAAATGTAAATAATTTAAATTTTAATATAAATTTAAAAATAATAACATACATATAAATATATAAATATTTATATATACATATAATATCACCTCCAAAATCCAAATATTTTTTATGTTAATGTTTATTATTATTCTTAATTATTATTTTCTTAATTATTACTCATAAAAACTGTTAAATTTTCATCTTTTTATATTTATTATTAATTTTATATTCCTAGTTAGATTTTCTATTAATTATTAAATTATAGTTATTTTGAAAATGTATTTAAAAGACTTTATTTTATATTCGAATTTGAGTTTTAATTAGTATATTAACACAAAAAATTAAAGACTATTTTTTTTTCTACAAAATTTTCCTTTAAAATTTTAATTTCATTGTTCTCGTGTTTTTTAATGTTTTCATAATTATTTATTTCCTCTTTTAATTTTTCTTATAAATTTGATATTTACAATTTTAAATCATTTATTTCTTTTTATTTATTTTCTATGGAACTTTCGTGAGTTTTTTACATATTATTAAGTTATTCTTGTGTAAATTTTAACTATTAATTGTATTTTTGACTTAGTTCTATAAAATTACTTTCATTTTGATTTTCTTCGAATTATATTTATTCCATAATCTTCTCCATATCAGCATTTTTTATAAATTTCTATATATATTTTACCAACAATTAGTTGTTTTTTTATTCTTTTTTATACTTTTTATTCAATTCATCATTTTAAGTACTCATATTTTATATTTCCTCAATATATTCTTTTCTTTAATTTACATAATTTTTTGTACTTTTTTCCAATTCCTTAATTTTATTTTCATACTCTGGAACATTTTAGCTTTTTAAAACTAACTCTTTATATTTATTTTCCCAAGAGGATATTTTTTTTTCAAAAGATGAATTATTCTAGTTTATTTTTTCATAAAATTTATCCAAAAAAACCTAATTATATTTCTCAATAAATTTTTCGGCTTAAAAGACTTACTATTTACCTTTAAATTAATTAGAAAGTACCCATAAATCTTCTTCTAGTTCTTATCTATTTAAACTAAAATTATCTGCCATTAATTAATATTTATCTTATATAATTTAAACTAAAGCCACTTAATTTTTAAAGCTAACATTTTCTAAATTCTATTAAACTTAAAAAGACTTAAAGCCTCCCCCCCCCCTTATTGTTCTTTTTCGACTATTTTATTATTTTTTTCTTAAAAATCCTATACAGACCCTAAAGAATAAGCTTAAATTCCATTTAATTCCAAAACCCAAACCGGTGATTAATGCAGTTAATCGAAAATCATAGGAATAATAATTATTTATTTTTCAATTTTACAATTGAATCCCATTTTGAATTCCCTTTTATATTCCAAAAGAGTATTTTCACTTGAAAAAGATCTATTTCGATTATTTTAAGAAGAACAAGGAGATACACTAGCTGATTTACTTTGTTTCTACTAGAAAAAATTTTATATTCTATCTAGTAATTATAGATTGAATTTACAACAAAATGAAGATATCTTACATTCTAGGTTTCCATTAAGCATTTCTCTATGTTTAGTATCATATTAATAGCAAATTTCAACACAAAACCCATCTTTTTTTTTCTAATTTTCATATAAAAAAAGCTCATTTTTTCTTTCTTTTTAATATATTTCCTTTTAACTTTTCCTTCTTTCATTAATCAACCAAATTTACATGTTTCCACATCCAACCTTGATTTCGAAACTCTCGTTTTCTAATCCACAATAATTTAGCCATAAGTTGTCATATTTTAACTCAATTCCTTCATCTTCGGTATGTAAAAGGGACACTTTACCTTCTTTAAAAGCACAAGAAAGGCTTATATTAATCGAATTAGGTGGTCTAATAGCATACTAGAGTGCTTTTTTTTCCAAAACCATATTAATTTATTAATCTGAGGCTTAATATTATGAAATTAAATGTTCTTTAATACACTCTTTGGTCCATATAATTAATATTTCCTCCTCTAAACCTCTAAAAATGGGTTTTAGGATAGATATATCTTAATCAGAGATTTGAAAGTCAGTATTTTTTAAAAATTTAAGTAAAATTTTATGAAATCTTTATTTATAAAAATCTATAATATCTTAAGAAACCTAAATGATTTTTTATGCATTTTTTTACAAAAGCAGTAGTTTATATTCCCCCATTTCCTATATAATATTAAGCAAAAAAATAAACTATTCCTTCTCGAAATCAAAATGCACTTTTTATATTTCTATATTAATTTAAATTAAAGCAAATTCAGTGTATTTTCGAGGATTTTCAACTACTTTTAATTCCATTTCTTTTACAAATAGAATTATATTTTTCTCCTCTTCTTCTTATTTAAATTCTTATGAATATAAACTAACGTCTTTTACTTAAACTAATTTATTTAAAGGATCATATATATTTTCATTAATTTCTTTATTTAAAACTCTATCTATGAAACCAAATTACCAATCTTAATCTCTAGGACTTGCTTCTATTGATTATATATTGATTCCAAAGGAACATTTTTAGAAATGGTCTTCCCATCTGATATGTATATTTTAGATTTTTAATTGAATATTATCAATTATTCTTAATGTTAATTTATCCACTAGAGTATATTAATGTTATTATTATTAATTATGGAGTTTTTGTTTTTATATTTATAGGAATTTTTCTATTGTTTCTTTTGCTAAATCTTGAATGTTTTTTATTTTATTTTAGGCCTAATCGCCTTGTTATTCCATTAATTTCTGCCAGTCTTTTTTTCTTACTTTTTAATATTATTGTTATCTTCTCCATGTTGACTTATACACCTTATGACATTAGTTTATGCCAAGGAACTTTTATACTAAGTTTTTCGATATTAGAATTTATAATCTCTATTGGAAGCTTTAAACGATTTGTTAGTTCGTCTAATATTTTTATGTTTTCAAAAGATAATTCGCCTTGCCACATTTTAAATGACAGACTGTTTTTGTCCAAATTGATGAAATCACCGAAA